GTATAAGAGATTCGAAGTAAGTAACCAAAATAAATCGTTGAGGAATGCGCGTGCAAGATGCTATTTGTTTTAGGTATTTGCTTTAGAAAAGTTACTACTGCTGAGGCCAGCACGTCCTGCGCGTGGAACCCCAATCGCTGCATTCTCCTTGGTGCTTTAGTTTAGCAGCAGGTCTCTTCATGTCAGTCAATGGGACGGACATGAAATATTGCAGTGTGACAAAGGCATATATATATATACATATATGGCGTGCACGTTCGCCTGCTTTTTGGGCACCTTGTACTGTTATTTACCCCCCCCCCCCCCCCCCCCTTTCCAAACGCGCCCACGTGCTTTTCTTTCACCCCGATGTCAACCAAGGATGGAGCGGCCTTGGCTGCTCGTCATCCCGATCCCGCGCGAGTTCTCTATGTTGCTTTATGACTGGCACTTGCTCGCCGTATTACTTAGTAGCTCTAGCTCTGACGTTGCGTGCGTAACTTGAGCCATGCAACAATCCATACGGACGGCTCCATTCTCCCCCGGCTACGCGCGGTCAAGACGTCCAGCAAAAACTCACTGGCTCTGCGCGCGCGCTCGGGCGCACGTTCATGATGAGAGGACGCCAGCGCACGGGGCTTGCGAAATGCCGGACCTGCCTGGCGAGATTAGTGGTCCGCGTACTTCTATGCGCACGCGAAAGCGATGACCGGGCGTGGGAATTCGGCGGCATCGGCCGGCGGCACTTCTTTATTGGCTTCGGGCTCACTTATCCGAGTCCCGGCTTTGAGGACGGTGATGCCGATCGTGGCCGGAACTTATACACGTACTCTCAATTAGGAACGCGAGACTTATCCGCGCGTTTGGGATGATGGATGAGTGCGTGTTGGCTCAACGCGTGGTTGTCGATTCTACGCGAAAAGCGAGCTTCTGCTGGATAGCGTTGCGCGAGCCGGGTCATTTACATATTCGTCCTTTGGCGTCCGTAAATACACTCTCAGGCCTGTGGGAGCTATCATGAGGGCAGACCGACTTTCAAACTACATGCCTCGTGCGATTTTTCGAGGTAAGCTCGCATTCTGGTGAGCCGCATTCACACATAGCGTCTGAATGCGCTACGGCGGCTCAGGTACTGCCGCTTACGACCGCAAACCAAAAGACGCAGCGCTCGCTTCTTATAGTACCTCACCGCCGTATATGAACAGGCCTCACCGACAGCTCGGTGTCTGGTGAAGGATTCCCCATTGGTCACAATTTTTTGCTCTTTCACGCAGGGGTGTGTCATATCCTCTGCTTTAGAACATAAACCACCCCTGAAGTTACTTCAGTGACGTCATACAGAATCCTAAGTGCGTCTCTGCGCTCCCGGCACCGCACTCCGGCGTTAAACTTACGCGAATAATAATAAATAATAAGAATTATAACAATAATAATATAATAATATTAATAATAATTTCATTGAATCTTTCACATTGTAGATATATCAGCCCGCTAAGACATGGATGAGTATGCTTTGACTGCAGGACCTGGCGTCCAGACACTTGCATCCTACCGAAGCTTACGAATCATCAGACCCAAACATTGCAGTGCAGCGAGCATATCGTGCGGTAATCTAGACGATAATATAATCTTCAAAAATATTAAATCGTGCGGTGGGTTCCCTGTTAATTGCTAGTCATTAATTGTTTTCTAATCACCGGCAAAACGGCAACAACAATAAAAAAACCGTAGCGGAACAAATATTTATAACTACAAACAAAACGCGTCAGATCCTGTTAAATATTTTACCGCGTATTCCCGACTCCAATACCATGAATTTTGGTTATTTAGTTATTTGTAGATACGGCGACATCAATTGAGGCCATTACAGGAGTGTAAAACAGTGTCTCAAATAATTAAACTTCAAACATAAAACAAAACACTAGAAATGTCGATTGAAATCACACATCAAGGCAAGGTAATTTTCCCTATTTCTAATATAAAGTCATCACAGGAAAGCACGCGTGTAGATCCAACAACACCGTTCCACAACGCAATAGTGGGAGAAAAATATTTTTCTTAAAGCAATGATGTGAGATTGATATTGAACAATGTTCAAAGGATGAGACCGTCTGGTGCGAGTGACATCAGTGAAATTAATCGAGTTGAATACGCTGGATGCCACGATCCCCATCAACAAAGTTATGAAACATTTTCAGCTGCTCGACAGTTCGCCTGAAAGACAAAGATTCAATTCTCAACACTGTTTTTCCTCTTTACGCTTTCACCTCCAGGCCGTTAATGTTTTTAATGCGTATTTAGACAGGCGCGAGCTGCCCCTTTCGGCTGGGTGGCGCCTCTGCCCTCCCACATCAGGCTACGGAAAAACTTCAAACTCACCATAACACGCGTTTGTTCCAATTCCCTCTCTTTCATTAAAAGGAACAGCGTGGCATCCCGAGATACGAAACTGTAGTCTCTGACAGTCCTCGACGCTAGCGTCGGGCAATGCCGCGAAGTCAATGAAGCCGGAGCGTTAATAAGACACTCAGGTTTCAGCCTGCGCCCTGCGTTTCTTGCAAACAGAACTCTCGTGGCATTCTCAGTCGTTAGCAGTCAAATGATTATTACTGCAAAACGATGCACTCTACGCCTACGAGCGGCACAAAGTGTTTCAACGAAGGGTTCAATCCGCTCGAACCTGGATACTTTGTCGATGCCAACGTTCCGCGTGTGGCATTCAGTGTACCAGTCGTAAGGAATGGATTATAGTTTAAGATTAAAGGATACAGCGAGGATTAGCTCGAGGCGCGTGGTCCGTGCGCATGAACTCGGCTGCGAGGGTTGAATGACTGCGCTCGAAGCTAATTTAATCCTTAACCTTCGCACATTCTCTACTCTATTTCACCTTCTAATGTACCGCAGGAAAGGCTACAAGCGCGAGCTCCCTGCTCTGGGGCAGATCTCGGCGGCACAAGCTCTCGTGCATAAGGGGCAGCTAGCTGCCAACGCTATGAGCTCGCGCTTCTAGCCTTCACTGCGGTACTACATAAGGTGAAACAGAGTATAACAAGGAGCCATCCGTTCTGCGTGACATCGCCGCTTCCTAGAAGAGACAGGCGCTTGAAGCGCGCTACAAGGACGAGCTTGTCTCGTACCCGCGTACACAAGGACACTGCGTATCGAAGGAGCACGCCGTGCGGGGAAAACAGTCGATAGCGTGGGAAACACGTGACCCTATCTGACAGCGTTTCGCGGCGGCAGATACCAATGCCGGTCTCCCTTTGTTCTGCATTTTTTTTAAATATTCCCATTAGATTATTAGGATCGCGTCAATTAAGTTCGCGTAAGTTTGTCCCACTGAAAGTAGACGGAAGAATCAATGCAGCTGGAGAAATACGACCGCTAAAAATATAAAATTAATGCATACTCTACAAAAACAAAAACGCTGTTCGTATCACATATATTATTGCGCATAATTGTCGTACTGGTCCAATATTTAGTAGATTGAATATTGTACATTAATCAGTGTTATTATAAACTTTTTCGTGCATTTAAAATATATTTTTGCCAAAAAGAAAATGTATTCATCTCAATTTCCAACCTTAGCATGAGAGAGGTTTTCTATGAAATTCAGTCTGTAGACACGGGGTTAGTTCCGCACTCCAAAATGAACTAAGGTAATCAGATGTTGAAATATACAGTACCTCAATTTTTAAATCGCCTGACTGAATTGAATGTACAAGTTTTGAGTGAAACTCTAAAAAGTGTACTTTTCATGTTTGTGAGAGAGTGCCGCTGGAATATGTAAGCTTGGGGGTAAATCGATTACGTTTCTCCCTCTCCCACAAACCCCCCCCCCCCCCCTCAGCCCCCGTAATGCTGTTTATTTTTGTGTTATAAGGGTGCTTGTCAGCAAACATTATGTATATGTACATGCTTTCCTCTTTTCGCTGCTGTGGGGAGGCAGAGGATCGTCAAGAAACAACTATGCGTACGTTTAACAACTGGGTTGCTTTTTTCTCTGTCTCCCCTCTCCAAATGGAGAGAAATAAAGAGTTTGAGTTTGAGCTTTCGGAGCAATGGCCCCTGTATGCTCACGGATTCGTAGATATGTTGACGAACTATGGAGTGTACATTTCGATCTTACTGATAAGGAGAAGACAGGCTTTTGAAGTCAAAAAACGTCGAGCTCGCATTTTAAGTAACAGATGGCAAACTACCTCCAAATAATGGTATCGGTTCTACGTTCGCTCAGAGTTTGGCATACAACTTCCAAGTGACGTCTAAGCGACCCATAATTATTTTCTTGCTTTCGATAACGACCGTTAAAGGGGTGGTGCAACGATTTCTGTATTTTGCGCAAATACCGCTTGGAACGGATCCCTGACGTTAATGACCTCTGAAATACCCGTTCGTTTTTCACCACACGCAATCGAAGTCGCAGGAAAAAAATAAAGATAAACGAGCAGAGTTCACCCCCTCAACTCGCAGCCAGAACAAGCGGCCACGGGATCTCGAGCCGATTATATGGCGCCATTGTTGATCATAGCCTCGCGCTGGGGTTGGCAAGGCACAGGACACGCTCTGAGTTCTAGACATTGTTATTGTTCGGTTGTTGTCGTCATTGCAGCGATTGGACACGGGCCACCACCCGAATGCTTCTCGAGCTATAGATTATCACGAGCCCAAATCGAGTGTCCACGCCATGCTCGGGTCCAATCTATGAGCCGCATTCAAATATCGTCACTGGGCGGTACTGTTACCGCCGAGCTACGTCATCAGGTTCTGCGAAGGAGAGATTGAATGAAAACACTCGGTTTTGTCCTCGAAATTACAGCGCAACAAAGAAGTTTCTTGGTCAGTGGCGCTGCGTGCGAGTATCCTTGAGTCCCACCACTGCCAGTAAGCTCGTGTAAAGTGAAAAACATTCCAATCGAATATCGTTGCACCACCCCTTTAAAGCGTTGCAATTTGACAACGTTGCCGTGGAGAACTCGGTGCATGCATACTATGTACACACAGGGAAAGCGGAACACTACCTTGGCTTTCGGGGTGTGACATTCCGCAGCAAAGGGGAGGACAGGTTTTCACGGACCAGGTCCTCGTCAGGCGAAGGCAGAAGAGTATCGCCGTCGCCACCGTCGGAAGTCGGTGCCAGATTCCATCGTGGGGACACACACAATCACACGCACCACGCGGTCGCCCGCTCTCTCACACACACTCGCACGCACGCACACACTCACACGTTGGCTCGTCACTCGCGTTGTCGTCAGATGTGCGCGGACGGACCGCGAGGGCAGCCCGCCCCTGCGTGGCGCGGTAACCTGCTCGCTGACTTCGGGGAAAAAAAAAAAAGCGATAGGGCGCGTTGGCGAACGCGGCGTGCCGGGCCACTTTCTTCCAACCGAACACAGCACCGCAACAGCCGGGAAAGAGAGTCAAAGTCCTCGGCTGCCAGGCCTAAACGCTGCCGACCGACGTCCGCGCGCACCGCGCCCGCCTCCTCCGCCTTTTTAACGAAAACACAACGTGTGGAGTAGCCCCCCGAGTGCCTACGATTACGGGATGGCGGAGGCCTTGCCGAGGAGGAGGAAGCGGACGAGGAGGAGGTTTGCCGCTCTCCAGGCACAAGAACGAGAAAGCAAACTGGGAAAGGGCGGAGATGCACGGACGCGAGTTTCCGGTTCCGTCGTCTGCTACAGTTGAGTCGCGCGGCACAAATAAATAAAACGGAGAGGGGCGCCCGCTCGCGCGTGCCAGGGTAAGAACCTGCATAGAAACTGGGGAGTTTAACACCCTTCTGCGGCGTTGCGGCGTACCAGTCGTATTGTTGACTCGCTTTATTTTTCTTACCGAAAGCGCCCAGTTACTGGGAGAAATGTCTACTAAGTTCGACGATATCTGGACTTTTAAAAAGTATCACTGACATAACATCCAATCACTGTGCTCGGAGGACATATATATATATACATATATATTAAATATACATTTCTTGTGTCGTGAAGGAACATGGTGTCTAGACGTTTTGACATTCACAGTAAGAGTGCGTTCTAAATTTGGACAGCATATATTCCTATAACAGGAAAAAAAAAAAAAAAGAAAGTTTGCGCATATACAAGCGAAATTTTAGCTTTGATTTAGAGACACATCGCTAACCCAGATGTAGGCGGTCATTCGTATAGTGTTGCATCAATACACATCCAGTCACAAAAACTCAATACGCTAATGTAAAAAAAAAAAAGAAAAAAAAAAGAAGGTTGCTTGGTTTCTAATAAATGTGGGCAGCGGGTCGTTGTCCGGCGCGAAAACCACGACTCCGGTGCTGACGTGGCGAAGTTGGCGCCAGCCCACCTCGTCATGGGCGGGACTCGGAGGTCGCCACGCCACAGGAGGAGAGACATACGAGGAGCACGCCCGAGTGTACTGAATGCACGCGTGGCGATTAAAAATTGACACGGTCTTTGGCAATTCTCCAAGCACTTGGAGCTTAAAAGCTGCTTTACACTAGGGTGCCTCTTATGTGCGCTTTACCTAGTGGTTAATGACATCTGAACATTTTGTTCCTGACGCTTTTTACAGCGAAGCTGCTGATGGCTAGGGTTCCGTGGATTTTTCGTTTGCGTGACGTTTGCGCGCCGCATGCTAACGCCCTCCCTGTATAAAATATTCGAAGAAAATAACCAAAATAAAGCGTTGACGAACGTGCGTGCAAATGCCACTTGTTTTAGGCTTTTGCTTTAGAAAAGTCACTGCTGCAGACGCCGGCACGTATTTCGAGTGGAACACCATTCCTTGCATTCTCCTTGATGCTTGGGTAATTTAGCAATAGGTCTATTCAGTAGATTGGTTATCAATAGGCATCATTTTCAAGATCAGTAGACTTTCAGGCAGATAAAAAAGGTTTCTCAAAGATTTGCCTCGGTGCGACAAGCGTCGGCCATGTATACGCTCGCACCGCCCTCTCTTTGTCGTCGCCCCAAGCGCTTGCGTGCCTAGTTTCCTTTCCTTCCGCGCTCCCGGGGTGGCGGACCCGTCGCGCCTGTCTTGTTTCCTCCGGCTTCTCGGGGCGGGTCTGTGTCGTGTGCTGAACTGCTTCGCTGGTCGTCCATCTTCACAGAGTGGAACAGCTCGTGATTTGTTCGTTGCTTCTTTGTTCCAGAGCGCGAGCAAGCGGGTCTCCTGGCACGAGCTCTTGGCATTGACAATGCTACGGCGGAATGCTGTTACCGGCTATTTCTTTGTATTTTTATCGAGAGCGCGTGTTGTCGGCAATCGGGTACTACGAAGAATCTCATCACCCTAAGCAAAGCGCACATGAAGGTATTTTAGATTACACAGCATCAAGTTTTTCTTTACGCTACGTATAAGCCAGCGAAACATTCCAGGTGACTTGTACGCCAGCTTTCATTACGTGACGTCACGTAAGAATACGAAGAACATACTAGTAGGGCTGGTTAACACAGCTTCGTCGTCTACTTGCGTTACGAATCTTACGTAGCTTACGTCAAGATACGAGAGCAAGTCACTGGCACTTCAGTGCTTCGTATACGAAGCCTTGCAGCCAGTTAAAGGGGTAGCTCTGTGCGTGGAATACGAAGCACGAATGGAGCGGTAACTTACGGTCGTATCTCGCACTAAACGTTTACCTAATCTTCGCAACCAACTACCCTAGTGGCACTAGCGCTTTCAACTGTCATTAAGCCAATGATCGTTGGCATCTCCCAACTGTCATTGAGCTGGACTAACTTGTCTGGTGTTACACGGTACATAGACCTCACAACCCCAATTGAGATGAGCGTCAAGGGACACAGTTGAAAGCGAAACTAATGCAAAATTAATGTCATCTTCTTTTTTCTGGAATTGATGCAAATAAGTTTTGTGCATACTTTTTATTTATTATAAAAGCTTAAGACAAAATAAAACGAACTTAACTTAAAATAACCAGAACGTTTCACACGAATTTAAGTGCGAGAGAAATAACGGAAGTCTTATTAACACCGACATCACAATGGCCACCCTCGCCGAGGTTTGGCTTCCGCGACGTGCCCTGATCGTTCTAGGGGGAGCTCTGGCTCCGAATCGTAGCTCTTCTAACAATATTTACTGCTACGATACTTCCTAGATACCTTCCGCAATCTTCCGCAACAGTAGGGAGTTTTAGAATAGCGCACGCTAAAGCTTTGCGCACGCAAAGAATAGCGTCGTCGCCACTGCGCATGCTCCGAACGCAAAGCAGGTTTTGCGCTTTGCGTGCGCAGTTTTAGCGTGCGCTTTTTCTCGGAAATAGCGTGCGTACACAAAGAGCCTTTGCGCTTCTCCTAGGAGGATTCGTGATGAGAAGTTGGCTAAAGCCAAGACGAGCACAGTTAAAAAAAATGGCGGCTTCCAGGATTATGTCGGCGGCTGCTTTGGCGGCGTCGTGAGTTCGACGTCGGCGGTATCCTCGCGACTGCAATTTTCAGTACGGGACGACATTGTACTCGGTTTGGCAGCGATCACCGACAACTTGATGCTTGCCACGCGCGAACATTTCACGGCGAATGAACGATGTGCGAAGGTCAGTACACGAGACCTCTCTTGCCGAGGCGACGCAAACGGACACGACCGCTCAACCGCTCGCGTCGCGTTCTCATGTTTAAACAAATTAAAATGATACTCTGGACCATAAAACTCGTTTTTTTTCTGAAGTTACAGCATTTCGTGTGTGAAATAAAATTTTTTACTGTATCTTGGTGGCGTCGCAAGCGCAAGATGCTTGGGCTTTTGCGTCGCGGCGGAGAAACGCTATTCTAAAACTCTCTTGCGTCGCGTGCGCTAATACGAGCGCTAAATTTAGCGCTAGCGTGCGCTAAAATTGCGTACGTTATTCTAAAACTCCCTAGTAAGTGCTTCGCTGGCGATGGCCATGGGCGGCGATGCGGCGGACGCCGTCATTTTGTAGCTCTATCGGGGCGAATCCCTATCGGTCAACTCAGGTAGGCCAGCTCAATTGAACTCAAATGATCGTTAGCGGCTCAATGACAGCTGGCGCCGCCGTGTAACTCCGGCCGATCGCAATTGAGTCAACTCTCGTAATTGAGTCAACTCTCGTTGGTGTAAGGACAGTGTTAGGACAGAAAACGTAGGCTGCCTCACACAGCACCGTCTCCTTACGTCACGTCGCGACACGGCCTCATGTGAGCGGTGAATCCGTGCTTCCTACAAAGCGTCGCGACCAGGTCAAGCACAGATGTGGCGGTGACTCGAGCTCGTATCTTCTGGTACGCATACGTAGGCTTCGTGATGGGAGAAATTGGTGCTACACTGTGAACCAGACCACATCCCCAGGCCGACTGCTTTTAAGTCTCCATAAACAGCCCTGGCTGCAGACAGGCTTTATGACTTCGCTGTTGACAGAAGCTCATTACAAATTATTACGATAGTCGCCTTCCGTGAGCTGTCGTCAATTCCTGCTGGGCTGTAGAACGAGCATGGAGCATGCGCGGTTGTTCTCTTGTGCGGAATATGAAACCGCGCATTCGCCCACAGCCCGGCGTCTCGTCATTTTACGTATGAATTAAAACGGGCTGGAAAAGGCGTGTATCGCGTAAATATTCCTTGTCCTTTGTTCACAATTTTTCCGGTATGACCCCCCAAAACTGAATTACCCTTCGGCCCAAAATGAAGTAACGAGTATGCTCCGTTCATTAAATTCGCTTCTTGCCCATACTTTCGAAAGTCTGATGGGGCAAAGTCGAGCTCCGGGCGTATAAAAGCACCTTCCGTCAGTGCCCTCTGTAACCTCCTCTCCGCTTTCCAAACTCACGAGCAACAAAACGACTTGCGGGAGTTGGTTTCTGGTTTCAGAGGCTTCCGGCACACCGACCGCCGACGTGCTGTGAACACGTCGCCGAAAAAGTGGATATCCGGTTGGAGGTGGCCATCCTGATCTCAACAAATACAGGAAAAAAAAAAAGAAAGACGAAGGAAGAGCACGAAAACGCTACAAAAACCTTGTGCTTCCTGCAAGAAGTCGTCTAAATTCTTAGTTAGGTATAGATTGAAATGGAAACTTGGGCTAGGTGGTTCATTATGAGGTTCAGAGCACCAAACCTACACGAGGACAATAGGAAAAAGAACGAGAACAGGGCGCACTCACTCGGAACTAACATTTTTTGAAAACTCATCTCATATACTTGTGGTAAAATACAGTAATGCCTACATCAAATGCAGCCCCTTTCGCAAAAAAAAAAAAGAAAAAAAAGCGTACTCCGTTGCCGATATTGAGACATGTGTCGCTAATCCGATCTATGCCTATTTCTTTTATTTCAAATTTCTCGTAAAGCTCCCTAGATATCTAACTGATCGGGATATGACGGTGTGAATCTCGATCGGCTGCAATGTGTGGCCAAGTGTCCTGACGGGGTACTTCATGTAGCCGCTGCATGTTCGTGTGCGCGATCATTAAAACACCTGCTCGTCTGGCCGATGTACGACCTTCCACAGGACATGATAATTTCATGTACCACTCCCGTAGCCCATCCTGT